TTACAGTCTTCCAGTTCAAGTAGTTCAAAAAATCTTCCCATTGTAAACATCAAGCCAATAGTTAATATTTCTAATGTTAGTCTTTCAGAAGAACAAGAGAGAATTCTAAAATATAAATTTTAACTTCTCACAAACCTGTAAACCCTCGATTCCAAAGATTTTGGCTCCTATCGAAAAAGCTTTCAAGTTCAGTAAAGTTTCAGATTCACAGAAAGAAATGATTAGGCATCTTATCGCTCATAATGTGAAATTCAATAATAAACCTTTGAAACCAAATCTGAACTGCGAGAGAAAGAGCTACAATGCGCGAGATTCATTCTAACCCGGATATTGTCATTTCAAAGGCCGACAAAGGTGGCCAGATAGTCGTCATGGATAAGAACACTTACATCGATGGTGTCACTAAACTCTTAAACGAAGGACCATATAATCCGATCCCTAAAGATCCTTCACCTTCGGACTTATCCAAAATAAAAACTGCGATCAAATCTTCGCAAATCATTTCAAGCAACTTAAAAACATTCGCTTATCCCATCTGTTGCGAATTGTGCCAGATTATATGCTCTTCCCAAAATTCATAAAAGTGGTATTCCTTTCCGCCCTATTGTATCAAATTTAGGTACTGCCTCGTATCCATTAGCTAAATATTTAGTTTCTAGATTTTCCACTCTATTAGACAATAACATTTACACCATAAAAAATTCAATAGAGAGTTTGTAAAAAAGGTTAAAAACATTTCTCCTCGTAATTTACTCATGGTTTCTTTTGATGTAAAATCATTATTCACCAATGTCCCAGTGGAGGGTGCATTAAGATGTCTAGAAACCAGACTTCGCGAATTTCATTTCTCTTGCATCGAAATTGATGAGCTAATTTCTCTCACCCAACTCTGTTTGAAACAAACACATTTTGTTTTTCCAAAATAAATATTACAAGCAAACTGAGGGATTAGCCATGGGAAGCCCCCTCAGTCCCATCCTGGCTGATATCTACATGCATTATTATGAATCAAAATTGTTTGAAACTTTAAACTTCCCGGCATGGTTCCGCTACGTAGACGATACTTTTTACCCTGTTTGAAGGTAATAAAGATGATTTAAAATAGAGTTCTTTCAACAATGAATTCTATTGATCCTGCTATTCAGTTCACTTTTGAACTTGAGACTTGCAATTCTCTTCCGTTTTTCTTTCTCGACATTCTGGTCACACGTAACACATCCAACTTCAGTACTACAGTTTACCGTAAACCTTCATCGGTTTGCCTTCCACCACACTTTAAATCATGTCATCCGACTAAACAAAAGTTAGCTTCATTTTATTCCTATGTTTTCCGTGCTCTTCAAGTTTGCTCCTCCAAACTAGCCCTTGATGAAGAACTAAATTATTTAAAAGCAATAGCTATTGACAGGGGCTTTTCACCCAACATTATTAATCAAGCAGTTAAAAAATTCTCATCTCAACACACTAAAAGCCACACTCTTATTTTAGGAGATTATAAAATTTCTGTTGTCATTCCCTTCTTTCCATCAATTAGCTATAAAGTTGCACATATTTTGCAGAAATTTAACTTTCGGGTTTGTTTACTCTCCCATCAATAAATTTCCAACTTCTATACTCAAGGACCCCATTCCGGATATGAATTCCTGGGGTATTTATAGGATTCCTTGCCAGTGCGGTTTAATTTACATTGGCCAAACTAAGAGAGCCTTAAAATTTCGCGTCAAAGAACATGAGGCATATGTTAGAAAAAAGGAAACACAGAAGTCTTCTGTTGCTCAACATTGTTGGTCCGAAAATCACACTTTCAATTTTTCTGCTGCCAAAATTATTCAAAAAACATCTTCCATTGGAGAACTGGATTTTCTAGAGGCATTTCACATTCATAAAAATCTTTCTGTTCTAGTTAACGATCCTAATTCCAATCCAAATTTGCCTTCGGCTTTTAGAGAAATTATGTTTTAGTTCTGGTTTCTCGCAACAGATGGCGCCACTTGCTTTCTTGTCCAGGCTTTCTTATCTTATCTAAACATTATTTCCTATCTTGTTCATTTGCGGTTTGCAGCTGAAGATGATGGTTCGGTAAAACCATCGAAACTAGTCCTGTGAAAGTTTTGTAAATTAACGCTGATTTTTGTTGTTTGAGTTCTGAATTAGTATTTATTCGGCGTGTTATTGTTGTCTTAAATATAGCTGTTTGTTGTATTGTGAATAATGAAGTGTCTGTCGGGAGCCATTTTTGGCAATATTGTTACGAATTTTCTAAATAATTTTAGTGAAATTGTATGTAAATTGTAGTATCTCTTGTAGTATGAAAAGCGTCACAATGCGAAGTATTGTCAGTAAAATAAGGTTACATGGGTAAGTCTTTTTAACGTTGAGGTATCTCGCCAATATAGGCCAGATAGCGACAAGCTGACGATGGTTTTCGCGACTAATTTTGACACTCTCTTGGCGACATTTAGGACTCATCGCTGCGAAATTGTATTCAGCACTTTGTAATTGTAACTATGTTTGCCTTCCAACAATTTCAAGAAATCGAAGGTACTGGAAATTTCTCGGCGGACGGGGGGGAAACTATTTAAAATCGAACAGAGGATCAGTTTCCCAGTTGATTTCAGAGTCTTCAGAGATCTCATTAAGAGTTTCGCTTTTAGATTAGAGAGCTGTGCTTTGCATTGCGTAGTGTTCCACGTTCTGAATTATTTGAAGTGATAGCTACCGAATATACTCTATCGTACTGATAAGAGCTGTACGAGAACTTTTGCGGGAAAAGCTCCAGAAATGTAAAGTGCTTTTATTGATTTTAGAAAGATAAAAAAAAATGCATCAAGTAATCATCGGTTCTATGTGCATTCAATCCATTGAACGTAGAATTGAACACCGGTGATACGAGCGATGGATGAGCAACTAAAACAGACATTTTAGTTGACAGATTTTGCTACACTCCAAGAAAAGATGGGTTCGTCAAGTCCTTTAAACAAGAAATGGACGTTGTTTAATAAAAGAAGGAAGCGGGCCAAAAAAAAAAAAAAAAAATGGAAGTGGACCAATAAAAGAGTGAAGAGGCCGTTAATTTAGTTTAGAAAAGATTGAAGCAAGTCAAGAGGAAATGAAAAGCGAAATTACTGCCATAATAAAACAAATTCGAGGCTGTGGAAGACAGACACGGTTGAAAATAAAGTTGGAGAAATTCAAGAAAGTGTTTCCGCTGTAGAAAACCAGATCGAAGGAAGATTTTCTATTGTCTAACAACAAAATGATGACAGAATTTCTGCTGCTGTCCCCAAAGAAGTTGACAACATAAAGAGAAATCCATAGTGGCAGCTGGAAACAATTCTGGCGGCTTTAAATTTCTATGTATGTCTTACCTGAAACTCTCCACGTAAAGACCTGCTGGCAAGTTTGCAAGACTCAGTTTTCTGTATTGGCGGACGCAAACGGATGGAATGCCGAAGCAAAGGCCTGCAACTTTGCCGCTTCTCTGAGAGCAGACGCAGCCAATATCCTTCAAAAAGAAATTAGTGGAATCCACGAAAATTAGTGGCTAGACCTCGAAGCTTTTCCGAGGCGCGTTGGAGCTGCGCTTTGGCGAAAAGTGTTTAAAAATCTATAATAACAGGTTCGCAGTTATAGTTCTTGGCTCAATGACTCAATGTGTGACAGTACTTCAGTCGCAAAGAACTTCGGTAAAAAATATTCAGTTTGAGGTTTGGAGAATAAATCTCTTCTCACTATAAGAAATATTTATTGCACAAATTAATAGACAGAGAGGACCTCTCTCTTTATACGATTGCGCGCGTCACACAATTTTCTGGGCAAAGATGTACGCGCTAGCGAGCCAGTGGCCACTTTAAAATTATTTTTATCTAAGAACAGTACTGTCGTTTTCAAAGTAAGTATTGTCAATTAAAAGTGTTTTTTTATTATGTCGTTCTATTTCGCTCTTTGTTTACTGAAATATATAATCCTATGTGATGCAATTCTAATATTTCGAAAACGTTTAGCACAATCGAAATGAGATGTTTAAGAAAGTATGCTTTCGCTCTGGAAGTATCAAACTGGTGCATTCATCTTTCCAGAGAAAATTTTTTGACCATTATTGTCTTATAATGGAAAATATCCAAGAAGGTTAATTATTAAATGAGTCAATTATAATCAACTGTATCTGTTTGGTGTTAATGAGGTCAAAATCTTAAATTAAAACTGTTGAAGTAATTAGCAATAAAAACTAAGAAAGATAGTGAATTTAAATTTATGACAAAATAATAAGTAATTTTTAATGACAAAATTAATCATTATTTAAACCTTCTGTACATATTATTTGTGGGACCACCAGTGGTCAAGCGGATTAGACAGTTTAACATTGGTAGTTCGATCGAGTTCGAATCCTTGCGAAAGGCATGGCTATCCGGATGCTTTCATGTTTTTCCCAAGTTCGTAAAGTTCCAAGAGTAACGTAAATAATACAAACGAACTTCCTTTTAAAAGGTCACCCACGTGGGTATCCCTCCACTTAAAGCACATGGCCCTCATGTGATTTTTCTAGGCAATTAAACGATAAAGTTATTTACAGTTTGTTAATTGACAACAGCAAAGCTCCCACGGCTTTTCATATTATTTGCACAGTTAAATCGAAAGTCTTGATAAAAATTTTGCAAGTAGCATTGATTACACAGAACAAAGTCATTTAACAATTATAATTAAAATAACTACGCCTTACAGAGAAGATGTTTGCCACAAAATAATGTTGTTTTTAAATAAGAATATTTCCCTATGAAAAATTAACTCTTGCGGTAATTTTTATGAACATTACCGTGCACAATTAAAGATGCTTTTTTTAGCCTTCGATAATTTAAATACCTATCACTTCTAGATAAAAAGACCATTTTCATTTTAGCTGAATTTCAAACTATTCCTTTTAGTTTTATAGAACATAAACATATTATCGATACATGCCAGTTCGTTTTTCAAACATAATTATTAAGCAGGAAAATACTCACTAGTCTATCGTAGAAATATTGCGTATCAAGATTTTTGCCGTTAACTTGCGCCACCCTCTCCAGCAACTCAGCAGCTCTTGCTACTTGACCTTTGGTCATTAACCAGCTTGCGGATTCAGGTACCCACCTGAGAAGAAAAATAATAGAACTTAATTGAAATTATTTTATCGACATACATTAACAACAAAACTGTGCTTATCAAAAGTATTTTCCAATTTTTAAATGAAAATAATAATGTTTCGTTTTGTTTCAAGGTTATTTTTCTTCTTTATCTAATAATTTGAAATGCTCATAAATAGTAATAAAAAATTTTTACGGTTTTAATTTTTTTAATTTTTTAAAATTAACGAAAAAAGAAAATCACATTTTGATATCTGTCAATAACATTTCTAATTTGTTTTGGGAGATGATTTAAGAATACACTTAAGATTATTAGGAAAACTACCTGCCACCTTTTCATTCATGCAGTTCAATCATAAATTAGTCAATTAACAGTAAGAAAAACGTCATTTATTGGTTGTAAAAAAATAAGTTTCAGAAGACAGTAGGCCAAGTATTTTGAATTTTAAAGCATATTTTCAAATTATTCATATCGTATTATAATTACATATTTTCATTACATTTCTTAGGTAATACACCTTAGAATTTGTATGCAGATTCCCGTGATCTGCTACTTAAGATGCAATTTTCGCGTATAATGGAAGAATTTAAAAGTCTGTTCATTTGCATATATATATATATATGTGTGTGTATATATATATGTGTGTATATATATATGTGTATATATATGTTACCGTGAAAGACCGAAATTGGAGAATGTCAACTTTCACCGGAAATGTCAACATTCACCAAACACCTCCGGTGAAATCGAATATTTCTTTACATTCGACCCTCACTGGTGTATGTTGAAATCACAGATATGCTCTGGTGAAAGTCGAAAAGAGAGATCATAAATGCCATAATAGTTTAAGTTGTTGCAATAATAAGATTTGAATCGCATAATTTAGTAAGTTTTTATTACTGTTATTTTTTTTTTCTCATTTAGAACTTACTGTATAATTATTTTTTAACTTCTTTATTTTTTTTCTTCTCATTTTGAATGTATTGTGTGTTTTAGGTTATCATGTTCGTTTATTCGAGACTGAATTACGGAGAAGAAAATATAATATTGTTATATGTTCAACATTCACCATTAGTACATGGTGAATGTCGACATTGACCTGTGTAAGTCAGAAATAAGAGTATTTGGAAAATATTTCGGACATACACCAAGCGACTATGTGAATGTTGACATTCACCGGTGAAAGTCGACATTCTCCAGAATTCGGTGTTTCACCGTAACATATATACTATATGATGTCACTGAGACATTTTTATGCGAAACTAAATAAGTTACTTAGATTTTCCTATATTGTATTTCCTCAGCTTTTCTTAATCTTCAAAATGTAAACATCTAATTTCCCTCCTTCTGGGGATCTCTAGCGGATAAGACCGTTGAACACCTGCATTTCGACCCGGGTTTAAATCCTGGTGAATGAGCTGACTGAATGAATAGCTTCCTGGGTTATGTTTTCGAACCTGTTTTCCCTAGAAATTCGTCCACAAAGACATTCCTCCCCTTAGACCTAGTATGCTTTTCTATAATCTAATAAATCCAAATCCTCCACGCATACACCCCGTTGCTTTAAAGCAAACTTTCTGAATTGAGTCTGAATTTGGAGTTATATTGTTACAATATAGCATATTTTACTACAATGTCAGTTAGCCAAACTATGAGAATTCAAGGATTTGTGATTAAATTTTTATTCATAAATTTTCTACACAATGAACGCATAAAACGGTAATTAAAAAATGTTTATGAATTAAGCCATTACCGCATATCGTACTGTGCAACCATTTTTTTTAGAAATGTTACTATTTAAATACATAATTATTAATAATTTTACATGCCGCCCAGACGGTATAGTGTTTAGGGGAGTCGACTGCGAAACCAAACGGCCTGGGTTCGAATCCCGGAAAAGGCATGGTTGTAACTGTCCGTCCCTTCATAAAAGGCAAAGTGCCCCCTTCCTATTAGGAGCTTCCATAATAAAGTGACCACCACTTCTGGCCTTAGTAGTGGCCAAGCCGAAGTCGGCTGAGGGCTCGCCATTGAAAATAAAAAATACAAAACCGTTTGCTTTAAAATGAGACTTTTAGTTTGGAATATATCTTCATTAGATGCACTGTAGCATATTCTCACATTATATTTTACCTTGATAAGAATTCCAGCTACTTTCCTTTTTGTTGCTTGATAAGTGCCCACCAGTGGCCGAGCGGTTAAGTCGCTAAACACTGGTAGTTCAGTCCAAGGTTCGAATCCCGCGAACAGGCTGGCTGCATGGGCGTTTTCGTGGTTTTTCCCATGTGTAACGTGTATACGAGCCAGTTTCCCTTAGAAAGTTCGGCCCACCAGCGGCCGAGCGGTAAAATCGCTGAATACTGGTATTCGTCTGAGGTTCGAATCCCGAACGGGCTGGCGCATGGGCGTTTTCGTGGTTTTCCCCCATGTGTAACGTGTATACGAGCCAGTTTCCTTAGAAAGTCCTCCACGAAGGCATCCCTCCCCTTAGGCAGATAGCCCTAGTGTGCTTTGCCGTATTCTCAATACACCAATACCCTTAGAAAGTTCTCCACGAAGGCATCCCTCCTCTTAGGCAGATAGCCCTCGAGGCTTTGCCATAATTACACACACACACGCTGCTTGATAAGTATTTTGACCATTTTGTCAAACTGTAATGAAAAAATAAAGATTTAAATTTTCCAAAAAAATCTTCTGTCTTATACGTATTAATACAACAACGCTGACCTAATGGTAACAAAACTGGCATTAACACGAATTTCATCACATCCACACGCACAAATTAGATTAACGCTACTGTTTTACTTTAGTTTTATCTCCAGCTCTTTGATTTCTCAGTGTATCATTAAACTCTCAAACGTTATTCCGTTGTGAAAGTCGGACAAATTGCAGAACAGAAGACTACTTCGCGTGGGGTAATTTTGAAAAGATAACAAAAACTAGTCTTCTACAAGAAACGAACGACAAAAGCGTGCTTCACTTGGCGGTCATTCATCTACGGACGCCTTATATAAATGTCACTTCTAGTATGATTGATGCGCATTCAGATAAAAAGAAGAACCTTGCTAGTGTCTTTCACGTACGTTTATATTGCAATCAATCGATCTATAATTTCCCTTCAAGACATCGGATAGGAGTGTCTATCTGTTTGCGTCTCGCACTGAATTTCCCGAAAGCAGATCTAGTAATTTGACATCAGTCTTCTGTTTCATAATTGTTGGAACTAAGACACGCCCTCTCTCTTATGAAGTATTCGGACTCTGGTTTTTTAAGTTTTATACCTTACGACCTTACTCCATCAATCCTCATGTATATTTTTGCAGAAGTTTACGAGGTTTTATATTTCGTTAATAATTTACCTATAAACATTCACTGGAGACAGATTAACAGCAGTGACTGGTATTAAAATCTGAAATGCAGTGATAAATTGATACTAAAATGAGAAAGCATCTTAAACTAATGAAGGAAGAATACTTTCCTTTTTATTTTCAAAAAGGCAAATTATTCGATTAAGATGTTAATGACCAATTCGATTAAGATGTATTTCCTTGACTGCCTTCTCACATTTATGTTCGAAAAGCTTTCTTGCAGGAGTAAGCAGCAAGGTGATTACGTAATATTATCAGAATTCTGTGCTGTGATATGAATAAATAGGAGCAGAATTCGAAACTAAAAAGTTTAAATTATAGAAGGGTTTCGTGGAAAATGGCTACATATTTTATTTCCTTAATTATTTATCTTAGGCAAACAATTTCAGTTCAAAAGTTTTCTTGAATAAGAAAGATAATTTCTATAACCGTTTTAGCCGTGGGGTAGAACGGTTTTGAAGATGCAAAATTGATCTTTTATTGCAGTCCCTGTTGATCCAAAGCCCAGTAATAGAAATGGCCTTTCATATTATATTTAAATTAACACTGAACTGTTGTTGTTGCTTATGCTCACTTGTCAGACGTAGTCAGACCAAGGCCCACGAAATACCTCGTGGAAAGGAGCGCTTGATTACGCGTATCGTTGGCAATAGCCTTGAGCACCTAACAGGTGACAGTGCGATTTGGCTCAGTTCCGGCCCCAGGTTTGATGGAGAGCATCCCGGGGGACGGGTCCTAGGGTCTCCCCTTTCACCAAACCACACGAGAGGATTTTCGGCTCGCCGCATATTTAGAGTGCCGCACCGACACTATACATTTACAAACATCCATGCCTTCTGTGGGAGTCGAACCCGGGCTCTTCGGCACGGCAGTCAGCGACGCGAACCACTATACCATTTGGGCGGCAAACGCTGAACTACTCGTTGATTACGAAGTCAAATGTAAAAGTATTCTTACATTTACCTGAAAAATCAAGCAGTATGTTCATAATTATTATTTTTAAAGACCAGTTACAAAACTTAAATGTTTTACAGAACATGAAACTATTAATGATTAAATAGATTGTTTTTGTTTTGAATTTGCTCCAAGAAAGTAGAAGTAAATTTTAGTACAATTAATTTTGGCCGAAAATATGTCTTAAAAATTATACACTGACTACCAATAAGTATTTGGACAGCTATGCAAACGACGATATCTGCGGTACCAAGGTACGCCACGGACTCCGACGGTATATATCGTGTAGGAAACAGCATCGGCTTTAGTCGCATGCAAGACTCCTCGCAGTTCGGAGCTCTCTGATTTCGAGAAAGGTATAATTATCGGTTATCACAAATGTGGCCGATCCTTAAGGGACATATCTAGCGATCTGAAGTATCCAATATCGACAGTGGCCTATGTGATTAAGAAGTGGAAGGTGAGGGGTGATTGTCGGAATGTGCGCAGAGTCGGCAGACCAAAGAAACTGGGGGATAGAGACCGACGCGTGCTGTTGAGAGAAATTCGGAAGAACCGCACCCAACCGATAGACCTTATCCGCGAGGAGTTTTAACAGGCATCCGAGAGTATTGTTTCAATGAATACCATCCGTAAAGAAGCACATCTACTTGGTTTTCATGGTCGTGCTGCTGGCCATAAGCC